TGTTTCTCTCTTCTCCTCGGTTTGTTGTGGCCCCTTCCGTTCGGGATTGTTTTTTTAAAGCTCTTTTCCTGTTGGCATTGGCTTCTGGGGGTCGGGTAGGGGAGCTCTATGCTCTCCTCTGGCATAGGGGTTTCTGCTCCTTTGGTCCTGGTGGTCGTTTTGTTCGGTTGCAGCCATCTCTTTCTTTTCTGGCGAAGAATGAAACAGCTGCTTTTTGGAGGGGGCCGTGGGTTGTTGATGCTTGGTTGGTCAGGCCTGAGGATGCATCATGTGTTGTGTCCGGTTGCGACTCTCCGCCATTATTTGTGCGCCACGGCTTTGGTGGCTGGGATGCGCTTTGGGTTGACCCAATTTCCCTTCTTCCCTGTTCCTGGGCTCAGGTCTCTCAGGTTGTCCGCAGGGTTATTAAGTCTAGCCAGCCTGCGGTTTATCCCCGTGCCCACGACGTACGTAAATTTGCGGCTTTGGCTGCCGTCTTTGGCAACATGTCTTGGGTTGACATTCGGGCCCGGGGTTTTTGGAGGTCGAACAGGGTCCTGGCTGCTCGCTACCTGGTGAATGTTCCTGGGCCTAGGTGGGCCTGCGTTGCATTGGGTCGGCAGTTGCAGCCAGTTGTCTCGACTTTGATTTGAAGAGTGAGGACGGACCGCCTCCCGGGTAAGTCCCTATTTTTCCTTATTTTTGGGTAGTTAGCTCCGGGGAGCCGACGGGGCTCCCCCCAGAAAACCAGCATTGAATGTAATGAAGCGCCATTTTCTGGGCGAGTTCCGGAGGTTTCCCAGTTTCCCTCCCTCTCTCCGGTCGACGGTGTTTTTCACATTTTTTACATCCAGCCTGAGAACTGTAAGGTGGGTCGCCGGTTAGGTCTGGGGCTGCCTCTTCCCCCTCCCGGGGCTGCCCCTTCCCCCTCCCGGGGCTGCCCCTTCCCCCTCCCGGGGAGGGGGGGTTGTGCAAATAGCGGCGCTGCAACGTGATGACGTCATGCTCATTTGCTAGTTTTTGTTTGGGCAGTTCTGTCCACTTGTTCGGTCTTCGATTGTAATAGTTTTACCAGAATAGGGGTTTGTTTTGAGATGTCTACCTTTCTGGGTGCCTGTCCCGGTCGATGGCAGACATAGAATGCTCCCAACCACAGGGGGGTCTCTATAGGCCATTGCTCCTCGTGCCTCTCTAGAGGGGGCCAGGTTCTGGCTCGTGGTCCCCGGTAGGCAAGAACTCCATGCACCTTGACTGATGCCAGAAAGTTATACATATCCATTCAGCCTGGATAGCTCCGGGGAGCCTCCGGGACTCGCCCAAAAAATGGGGTTTCATTACATTCAACGCTGGTTTTTTTCTAGTTACAGGATGAGAGCTATGCTCGTGCTGTCCCATGTTTCCAGTCCTCTTTGTCGTATAACACTGAAACTACTGATGGTTTTGGCCTCCACCACCTTCTCACTTAGCTTGTTCCAACCTTTTACCACTCTGCTTGCAAAAGAAAATTTTCTAATGTTTTCTGGTGGGGAAGGGGGGGGGGGAACCCCTATGGCTTCCTGGAACTATCCAGGCTGATATTGCTATATTAGACTTTGACATCAGTCAGTGTGAATGGAGTTCTTAGGCCTACTAGGAACCATGAGCCAGAACCTGGCCCCCCTCAGAGAGGCACGAGAAGCAATGGCTTATAGAAACCCCAATGTGGTTGGAAGCATTCTATGTGTCTGCCATCGACTGGGTCAGGCACCCAGAAAGGTAAGCATCCCAAAACAAATCCCTATTCTGGTTAAGAAATTGCTACTGAAAGCCGAGCTAGTGGACAGAACTCCCCCCCAAAAACGAGCATGACGTCAGCACGTCGCCATCTGTGCAGCTCCCCCCCTCCATGGGAGGGAAAAGGGGGAATCCCAGACCCCTCGTGCCAGCTACCCAAAACCCCAGTTCTGAGGCTGATGTACTAGGCTGAAGTCGTGTACTCTGGCTCCCGATTGTCTCCAGCTCTGTGCCTAGTGGTGTGGGGGCTGGTCCTTTGGGGGTGTGCAAGCCAGAAGTAATTTTTCAGTACTTGGGCTGCATGTGCCTAGGGCTAACTTCCCTAGGTGCCCAGTAAGTACTGCCCTTCGGACTTTGGGGCCATCTTCCACAAGTTCCTTGGGTTCTGCCTCTTCTTGGTCGTTTGCTGCTCGACTTTCGGCTGCCTTTTGTGTGCTGGAATGCTTCTGGCATCCTTGTTTGCCTTAGGGTAAAAGGTAGTTTGCCCTGGTAGGGGCACAGGGTACTGCGCCGCTAGTTGTCACCTCTCACAGTGGCCGGCTCTGTTCCTCCTGGGTACATTGTCCTCTTGCGAGGTTTAATTTTGTTTTTGTCTGCCTGGTGTGGGGGGGGGTCTGCTTTTGCTTCGTTGCCCCTTGTATCTAATTTGATTGTCTGTGATTCTGGTGGTATCCCCTGTTAGGCCCCCGTGAGTGGATGCATCCCAGGGATTCAGTTTCTAGAAAGTTTGTTGGTAGACTTGGGCGCTGGTTAGCAGTACCCTGCCTGGGCTTCCCTGGGTGTGAGTTCTGTCTCAGGACCCTGGGAATCCCCATGGGGCGCGTAGGTCCGATGGATGTGACCCCTGAGTCCCACTTCGCTTTGTGCGAGTTTGAGGGTTGCTCTGTTCCTTTGTCTCAGAGTGACTCTCGTTGTTTTTGCCTCCGTCTCACTGCCAGCTGGGTCGGTGACACCTTCGACCCAGAGTCCTGCGAGTTTTGTTGTTTTTTTGTGACTTGGTTTACCCAATCCACTGCCTTTTCAGGTACAGGCAGTGCAAACATTGCATGTTAGGTTTAGGTTGTTGCAACGTGCTAGGTTGATTGCTCACCCGGAAGCCCCGAGCCTGCCCCGTTTTGGTTATAGGGACCTGGACTTGGGGGCGTTGGTCGCTGCAGCCTTGGTTCAGTCCGTACCCCTTCGTCCTTTTCCTGCTGTGGTTCGATCAGGCTAGAGAGGGGCTGACTTGGGGACCTTGGGCCCCTGTTGGACCCCACCTTGATTTTTCTACCCTCTGAGTGGGGCTTACTGTAGCAAGGAGTGGGGTTTTCTCCCCCCCCCCGCCCTCTTTGTACAAGTTGGATTTGGTGTCTGCCCTTCCCCAGGTTCTGTTCCGTGTTCCTTCGGGTGCTTCGGTCCTGTCTTTCCAGAGGTTTTCGGTTTCCCGCATCCCGCCTCATGTGGTGCGAGATGCCTTTGCGGCTTACTTCTTGCGTGACCCGGATTACGCCTCTATCATGGATCAATCTTCTTTCGGGTTTGGGTCTTCGTTTTCCCTACTGGATTAGTTATGAGGTTCCGGAGTTGTCCTGGCTGGCGGACTGTCCTGTATTTTCCTTGGAGGCTTGGCATACTTTCTGTCCTTCCTGTATGCTTGAGTGGCATGAGGCATTGACGGTGGTCCAGGTTTTCTGGGGGGAGGGGGCGAGTTTGAGCACCTCAGTGCATGCTTGTTCGCCCCGGCCATTCCTTGGGATGTTGGCGTCGTGCAGCTTCACGTGCAGGTTCCATCCCTTCGGCTGCACTGGTTGCCGAGGATTTGCACGCTCATGGCCTGCTGGCTTCGGTCTTGTGGTTCTTTTCCCTCCTGTAGCTATCTGCGGATAGGCTTGAGGAGGATGTGGAGGTGCTTGGGGCCATTCCTGGGTCTAGTACCTTGGGCCTGGCGGCACGTGCGTCGTCTGCCCTGTTGAAGCTGTTTGTGGTGATCCTGCGGGATGCGGTGTCTCTGTTTTATACTTAGCGGCTTGCATGTTGGCAGGCAGTGCTTGCTTCATCTGCTTGGGCCCTGGCACTTAGGTTCTCTTCGGCCTTACGTTCCTAGCTGTTTGTAGATTCTGCAGTTGAGCAGTATCCGCAGGCAGCTTCTTCAAGTTGTTGTCCCACGTTGGACTTGTTGGTTCTCTGGGAGTCCCGAGGGGGGGGGGGCGGAACGCTTCATCCCGGAGGGGTCGGGCCAGGGCTCGGGGATCCGCTTGTCGTGGTAGGGCCTTTTGCAGTTCGTCTTGTTGATGGGGCAATGGGGAGGGAGGCTCGCTCTGTTCAATCACACCTGGTCTCATGATTTGTGGGCTTTTCGGGTTGTTTCCGATGACCTGCAGTGGCGTTGGGTGGCCCCTTCCCCTTCGGGGAGTTCGGGTGGGGCCTCTTCTCCTGCACTCTGTCAAGTCACCTCGGAGTGGGTGTGCTTGGGCGTGGTCAAAACAACGATGTCTCTTGGATGGGTTCCCGTCTGTTCCTAGTCCCAAAATAGGACTGTGCGAACCTGAGGTTCATTCTGGAATTGTCCCGTCTGAATACTGGGTTCTTTGCCCCTTCTTTCAGATGACTACTCTATCTCAGGTCCAGCTTCTGTTGGTGCCAGGTGCTTGGATGGTGTCCCTGGACCTCCGGCACACGTATTGGCATGTCTCGATTCATCTGGGGTTCAGGGATTAGCTCGGTTTTGTTGTGGGGCGTATCGGTTATTGCTTTCGTTGTCTTCTGTTCGGGTTGAACTGGCACCTCGCTTTTTCACACGCCTTACCCGGGTCGTGGTGGCCCGTCTACTTCTCTTAGGTGTTCCCAGCCAGTCCGCGTGTCTGCTCGCCAAGGATTTGGTTCTTTCCCAGCTTGCCGGGTTTGGGTTTTTGGTGAACTGGCAACAGTCCCATCTGGTTTCTTCCCAGGTTCAAACTTGGCTGGGTTTTGTGTGGGACTCTCGGACCGCTTCCTTGTCTCTCCCTCCAGAATCTCTACTTCGGGTGTGGTCCCACCTTTGCTCGTTTATGGTGGCTCCTGGGTCACCTAGTGGTTGCTTGATGGTTTGTGTGGGAGCCAGAACTTTGCCATATTGGTCTATTCGCTGGGCCGTGTTTGGCTTCGCTGGCTATTCTGCTTCCTTCGGGGAAATCCCTTCTGTCTCTCTCATGATCGCTGGGTTCGGCCTCTGGGGGGCTTTGTGTCAGTTGCAATGTGGCCGGCTTCCTCTTTGTTTTTTTTTGGTTCAGTGCCTTGGCGCCTACCCGAGCCCTCGCTCGATGTGTTTACGGACTCGTCGTCTCTGGGCTGCAGCTTTATGACCAGTGCTCAGCAGGCCGGCCAGGGGCGATGGGATCTGTCCTTCCATTGGGCTCACAGCACGGTGCGGGAGTTCACGGTGGTGTGATGTTTTCTCCAGAGGGTTCAGGTCACCCACAGATCAACGATCCAGCTCCATTCGAACTGCTCCCCTGGTTGTTCATTGCCTGAACCGAGGGGGGGTTCAATGCGGTCCTTGGCTCTTTGGGGCGGGTCGCTTTGGGTGACTTGTCTGCTGAGTTTTTGGGGTTTGACTGTCCTGGCCGTTCATGTTCGGGGGGTGTCCAGCGTAACCCCCCCAAACAGCAGGCCGAACTGCCTGTCTCGTTTCATTGCCCTGTCCACGGAATGGACAGTCAATGCTGACTCATTCAGTTGGCTCTGCTGGACGTATGGCTCCTGCAAGTGGACCTTTTCGCGTTGGCGTTGGCGAGGCTTCTCCTGTTATATGTGGCGCTCTTCCCCAATTGCGAGGCCGGTGGGATAAACATCTTCAGGCAGGACTGGCCAAGGTGGGGGTTCCTCCCATTCCCCCAGTTCCATTATTGCTGGAGGTCCTAGCTCGCTTGGAGACTTACCAGGGTAGATGTGCTCTCTTGGCTCCTTGGTGGCCGGCCCAGCTTTGGTTCCAGGCGCGCTCTGCTCGGTGTCTGAACCCGGGGGGTTTTCCCATGGCTCCGCCTCTTTCAGCAGATCAGTCCAGTCTGGTACATGGCTGGTTCGATTTTCTCCTCGAATCTTCGCGTCTAGTTTTTCTGACTCAAGTCGATCACCACTTGTATGGTGAGCAGGTGGCTTCGTTGATGGTGTCCCTCCTGTGTGCTTCGTCCTGGTGGTCCTTCCATTTCTTTTTGTCCCTTCGTAGGTGCACTTTGGTTTCGAATAGGGTTGTCTTGTCCTTTCTTTCGTGGTTGTTTCAGGGCCATCATGTTATGCTGAATACTGTCGCCTCGTATTGTGCGCCGCTGGCAGAGCCGCTGCAGCTTGTTTTCGGTATTAATGTTCTTTCTGCTCCGTTTTGCGAGCTGTCTCGTGCGTTGTTTCATCTCCTGCCTGCTCATGCACTGTTTGAGCCATCCTGTGTCCTTGGATTGGGTGCTCTCTTATCGCTCTTCTCCTCAGTTTGTTGTGGCCCCTACGGTTCTGGATTGTTTCTCCGAGACTCTTTTTCTTCTTGACATTGGCCTCTGGGGGCCGGGTCAGGGAGTTTCCTGATTTCCTCCGGCACAGGGGTCCTCTGCTCTTTTGGTCCTGGTGATAGGTCTGTTTGGTTGCAGCTGTCTTCTTCTTTTCTGGCAAAGAAAAGAAGCTCTGTTTTCCAGAGGGGTCCTTGGGTTGTTGATGCTTGGTTGGTTAGGCCAGGGGTGCATCATGTGTTGTGTTCGGTTGCGGCTCTTCGCCGTTATTTGCACGCCATGGCCTCTGTGACCAGGGACGCACTTCAGATTGATCCGGTTTCCCTTCTTCCTTGGTCCAGAGTTCGGGTCTCCCAGGTCGTCCACTGGGTTATTCGGTTCAGCCAGCCTGCAGTCTATCCCCATGCCTATGATGTTCGTAAGTTTGCTGTGCTTGCTGTCATCTTTAATAACATGTCTTGGGCTGACATTCGGGTGCGGGGGTTAACAGTGGTCGAACAGGGTCCTGGCTGCGTGTTACCTGGTTAATGTTCCTGGGCCTAGTTGGGCCTGTGTCACTTTGGGTCGGCGGTTGCAGCCAGTTGTCTCGACTTCTCGTTGAGGAGCGAGCAACGATGGCCTCTCGGGTGAGTCCCTCTTGGTTTTCGTCTTTTGGTAAATAGCTCCGGGGAGCCATAGGGGCTCCCCCCAGAAAACCAGCGTTGAATGTAATGAAACGTCATTTTCTGGGTGAGACCCGGAGACTCCCTGGCAACCCTCCCTCTCTTCTCTCCCTCCAGTCGGCGGTTTTTTGTGTGTTTTATATCCAGCCTCAGAACTGGGGTTTCGGGTAGCCGGCACGAGGGGTCTGGGGCTCCCCCTTCCCCCTCGCAGGGAAGGAGGAGCTGCGCAGACGGCAACGTGGTAATGGCATGCTCGTTTGCTCGTTTTTGTTTGGGGAGTTCTGTTTACTAGTTCGGCTTTCAGTAGCAATGTCTTAATCAGAATAGGGGTTTCCTTTGGGATTCTTAAAATTTCTGGGTGCCTGACCTAGACGATGGCAGACATAGAATGCTACCAACCACAAGGGGGTTTCTATAGACCATTGCTCCTTGTGCCTCTCTGAGGGGGGTCCAGGTTCTGGCTCCTGGTTCCCCAGTAGGTCTAAAAACCCCATTCATACTGTTTAATATAGCAATATCAGCCTGAATAACCTCTGGGGAGCGGGTCTCACCCTGAAAATGGCGTTTCATTACATTCAACACTGGTTTTTTTGCCACCTTTATTTCCTTAGCTTGAATCTGTGTCCTCTTGTTTGTGATGTTGCTGGTTTAAGGAATTATCCTTGTCAATTTGGTCGATTCCTGTTAGAATTTTGTATGTGGTGATCATATCACCTCTTTTTCTTCTGTCTTCTAGATTTGGCATGTTTAATGTCTGTAGTCTTTCCTAGTAACTATTGTTTTTCACTTCCGGAAACCATTTTTGTAACAGGCTGCTGCACCTTTTCCAGTTTAGTTTCTTTACGTGCTTCTTGAGATTTGGGCACCATACAACTGCTTCATATTCCAGTTTTGTTCTCACAAAAGTCATGAACAGTTTCTTTAATATTTCACCATTCCATGTAATTAAAAGCAAATCTGAAGTTGGAAAGCGATGCATATGCTCCTCTCACAATGTTCTTTGTGTTCCTCTGATGACAGCTTAATATCCAAAACCACCCCTAGGTCTGATTCTTTATTAGAGTTCTGTATTTCCATTCCACATAATTTGTAAGTTGTGTGTGGTCTATTTTCTCCGAATCCACGTACCATAACACGACATTTATTCACATTGTATTCCATTTGCCACTTTACGCTCCAAGCACTTATTGTATCTAGATCAATTTGAAGGGCATTACAATCATCTGCACCGCCTATCTTCCCTAGTATCTTGGCATCATCCGCAAACATGATCAAATAATTCTGTATTTCTTCTGGTAGATCGTTTATGTAGATGATGAACATTACAGGTGCAAAAACTGAACCTTGTGGTACTCCACTAATAACACTCCCCCAGTCAGATACATTGTCTCTGATTACTGCCCTCATCTGTCTATCAGTTAGAAAGTTCTTCGTCCATGTCAAAAGTCTTCCTGTCACTCCTCCAGCATGTTCCAGTTTTCTAGAACAGCCTCTTGTGTGGGTCCAGATACACAGTCAACCCAACCACCTCTTTCCTATATCATCTCTGTATAGGCTTTTCTGGGGAGGAGCCCCTTCGGCTTCCCGGAGCTTATCCAGGCTGATATGCTAATGTCAGATTTTGGCATCAGTCATGTGTATGGAGTTCTGTGGGCCTACCAGGGACTACGAGCCAGAACCTGGTCCCCTCAGAGAGGCATGTGAGCAATGGCCTATAGAAACCCCACGTGTGGTTGGAAGCATTTTATGTCTGCCATTGACAAGGTCAGGCATCCAGAAAGGTAAGCGTCCCAGAACAAACCCCTATTCTGGTGAAAATTGCTACCAAAAGCCGAACAAGTGGATAGAACTCCCCAAAAAGAAACTAGTAAACGAGCATGCTGTCGCCACGCCGCTGTCTGCGCAGCTCTCCCCTCCCCGGGAGGGGGAAGGGGCAAGGGGGAGCCCCAGACCCCCGCACCGGCTATCCACCCATCAGTTCTAAGGCTGATGCTAGAGGCGGAGGTCGTGTGCTCTGGCTCCAGCGGTTGTTTCAGCATTGTACCTAGAGTGTGGTGACTGTCTTCTAGGTGAGAGCGTGCAGAGATCCTTTACTGCTAGAATCCACTCAGTAAAATATCTAAATTACTGGGACCGACTAAAGAGCCTAAATCTGTACTCCCTTGAGCGCAGGCGGGAGAGATACATAATAATTTACACGTGGAAAATAATTGAGGGGCTGGTCCCAATCCTGCACACAGAAATAACATCACATGAGACCAGAAGACATGGCAGGATTTGCAGAATACCCCAGTTGAAAAGCAGAGGTGCAACAGGTACTTTGAGAGTGAACTCTATCAATATCAGAGGCCTGAGACTGTTCAACACGCTTCCACTACACATAAGGGGCATAACTGGCAGACCCCTCACAGTGTTCAAGAGAGAACTGGATAAGCACCTCCAAAGGATACCTGATCAACCAGGCTGTGACTCATACGTCAGGCTGCGAGCAGCCGCGTCTAACAGCCTGGTTGATCAGTCCAGCAACCAGGAGGCCTGGTCGACGACCAGGCCGCGGGGACGCTAAGCCCCGGAAGCACCTCAAGATAACCTCAAGGTAAGGTAGGTGGTGCATGACCCGGGAGTGACTCTCCAGTACTCAGGCTACATGCGCCTAGGGTTTCCTTCCCTAGGTGCCCTTTAAATACTGCCCTTGGGGCCACCTTCCACAAGTTCCTTGGATTCTGCCTCTGCTAGGCAGTTTACTGCTTGGTTTTTGGCCGCCCTTTGTGTGCTAGGGTGTTCTGTCTCCCTTGTTCGCCTTTGGGTAGGGGGCAGTTTGCACTGGTAGGGGCGCAGGGTACTGCACAGCTTGCTTTCACCAATCATAGCGGCTGGCTCTGTTCTGCCTGGGTACGTTGTCCTCTTGCGGGGTTTTCTTTTTCATTTTGTTTGTCTGCCTGGTGGGGGTCTGCCTTGGTTCTTGCCCCCCCTGTGTACTGAGTCCCTTCCTTCTCCCGGTGGTTCCCTCTGCTAGGTTCCCATGAGTGTATACGCATCGGGGTTCAGTTCTTAGAAAATTGTTTGGTAGACCGGTTAGCAGAAAGGATGCCTTTCGGCAGGACTTGTCGAGGTGGGGGGTACCTGTTCCTCTTCTCCCGGTCCAGCTGTTGCTTCGGGTTCTGGCTCGGTTGGTGCCCATTCCCACGAGAGTAGTCTTTATGGTCCCATGGTGGGTGGCCCAGCTTTATTTCCGGACGCTGCTTGATAGGTGTCCGAACCCGGGGCGTTTTCCCGCGGCTCCGTCTCTTTCGGCAGGTCGGACCGGTCCTGTACGTGACTGGTTCGGCGTTCTCCTCGGCTATTTGCATCTGGTATTTTGACCCGGGTGTCACCATCTCTGTGGTGATCAGGTTGCTTTGTTGATGGTGTCCCACCTGCGAGCTTCGTCTCGGCGACAATATGACGTTCCTGGTGTTTCTATGCATGTTTTCTTGCTCTTTGTAGGTTGTCTTCTCTTTCACATCGGGTTGTCATGTCCTTTCTTGGGTTTTCAGGACTACAGTTTTTTTGTGTCTTACTGTCGCCTCATTTTGTGCAGCGCTGGCGGAGCAGCCGCAGCGCTTGGCGTGCAGCCGGCAGCGCCGGCTCCGCCAGCCGGAGCTGGTGGAGCTACTCCGGCTTGCGTTCGGGGTGGATGTCACATCTGCCCCGTTTCGTACGCTTTCTTGTGTTTTGTTTCACCTCCGGCCTGCTCATGCGTCGCCTGAGCCGTCGTGGTCCTTGATCAGGGTGCCTTCTTATCTTCTCAGTTTGTGGTAGCCCCTTCGGTTCAGGTTTCTGCTCATTGGTACTGGTGGTAGGTTTGTACGTTTGCAGCCTTTATCCGTCCTTCTGGCGACGGTCGAGATGGCTGCTTTCCGGAGGGGTTCTTGGGTTATTGATGCTTGATTGGTTTGGCCGGGGGTGCGTCCTGTGTTGTCCGGTTGTGTGTTTTTTTTTTGCCGTTACCTGCGTACCGTGTCTGGGGATGCGCTTTGGGTTGATCCGGTTCCTCTCATTCCCTATTTCAGGGCTCGGGTCTCCCAGGTCGTCCACAGAGTTTTTAAGTCTTCCAGCCTGCGGTCTGTCTTTGCACCCGTGCTGTTCGGACATTTGCAGCTTTTGCTGCTGTGTTGGTGATGTCTAGGGCTCATTTTGGGTGCAGGGATTTGAGGGTCGCACAGTTTTTTGGCCGCCCATTCTTTATGCGCATCTGCTCCAGTGCATTCTTGTTGCCTTGGGTCACAGGTTGCAGCCTGTTGTCTCGGTTTCGCGTTGCGGAGTTTGTGGCGGCCGCCTCCCGGTCAGCCCTTTCTTTTCCTTCTCTTTGGGTATGAAGCTCCAGGGAGCCATAGGGGCTCCCCACAGGAAACCAGCATTGAATGTAATGAAACGCCATTTTCTAGGTGATCCCTGGAGGCTCCCTGGCAACCCTCCCTCCCACCTGTCAGCGTTTTTTTCGCGTTGGTTGAAGCTTAGCTTCCGAACTGATGCTAGGCAGCCGGTGCGGTAGGTCCGGGGCTCCCCCCTCCCCCTCTTTGGGCGGGGAGGGCTTGGCGGACAATCGGCACGGCAGTAAAGTGTGATGTTTGCTTGTTTCCTTGGGATTGTAGGGAGTTTCTACCTCTGTTCAGTTTTTTGTTTTAGTTTTTTACCATGTGGGGTTTGTTTTGTTATGCCTACCTTTCTGGGTACTAACCCTTGTCGATGGCAGATAAGGAAAACCCCAACGACAAGGGGGTTTTCCAGGACCATTGCTCCCTGAAACCTCTCTGAAGGGGCCAGGTTCTGGCACTGGTCCCTGGTAGGTCTGATCTCCTTAGCTAATGTCCCGATCTAATATAACATACATTAGCCTGATAAGCTCCAGGGAGCCTCCGGGGCTCACCCAGAAAATGCCGTTTCATTACATTCAACGCTGGTTTTTTGGCGAAGAATGAGTCACTTGGCTTCCTAAGGGGTCGTTTGGTGGTGGATGCTAGGTTGGTTTGGCTGGGGGGGTGCATCATGTGCTCTGTCCAGTGATGGCTTTGCACCACTACCTTCGTGCCACAACTTCTGCTTCAGTGGACTCGTTGTGGGTTGATTCAGGTTTCCTGGTCCTCTGTTCCAGGTCTCGTGTTTCTCAGGTCATCCACAGTGGTAAGTTTAGTCAGCCTGCGGTCTACCCTTGTGCCTATGACATTCAGAAACTTGCCGCTCTTTTGGCTGCGTTTGCTAATATAAATTGTCATCCATACTTCCGTGGAAATAAACGCTCCATTCACCTGAGCTATATGGGTCTCGATCCATGAACCCCACGCGTGTAGGTTATTTGCCAATATGTCTTGTGCTGATATTCAGGTGCACGGGTTTTGGCGGTCAAACAGGGTCCTGGTAGGCAGGTATCTGGTCGGTGTTCCTCCTTCTCGTTACCCTTTTGTGGCCTTGGGTCATATGTTTTCTTCTTCGTTGTGATACGTGCTGTGCTCCCTCCTCCATGGTAAGTCCTCTTCTTTTTTTTTCTCCGTGGGTAGGTAGCTTCAGGGAGTCACATGGGGGGCTTAACCCAGAAAACCAGTGTTGAATGTAATATATGCCAATTTCTGGGTGAGCCCCTGTGGTTCCCTTATCTAGAGGGTATAAGGGAGCCACCGGGTATAAAACCACTCCCGACTCCATCAGGAAATCGGGGTAGATTTTTCCTTCATAGAACAGAGGGTTGAGCATCTGTCTGACTTAGTCTGCCTCACTCTTCCCCTCAAACAAGGAGGGTAGGAAGGAGGTAAGCAAATGAGCTAGTGCTAGTTTCACGAGTTTGCCATAGTTTGTTTACATTTTAGGGGAGTTCTTTTAGCAATTTTGAGCTCTTAATAATTTTTACAACCAGCAGTGGTTTGTTTTTTTGACTTTGTGGGTACTTCCCCAGTGATGGCCGGCATGATTAAAATTCATTGATAATTTTATCAGTGCCACTGCTCTCTGCACCTCATTAGAAGGGTCCAGGTTCAGGCTCGTAGTTTCGGTAGGCCTAAAAGAACTTTGCGACTGATGGCACCTAGTAATATGCACTATATCAGTATTGCAGCATCGGGGAGCCATCGGGACTCACCCAGAAAATGGCATTTCATTACATTCAATGCTGGTTTTTAAAATATTTAGTCAAATTTAAGTAGGAATGGAGTAACATAAAGATGGATAATTAGAAATGCAACTGTGTTGCAACTTTGTGGCATTTTATATTGTAGAAAATTTCATGCATTTAAGATGTAGACACAACACACATTAACATTAGGATTTGTTATTGAACCCTTATCTTACAGCTGGTATCATGGTGCACTGAGCAGAACAGAAGCAGAGGCTACACTAAGATCTTGTTCTGAAGGCAGCTACCTGGTGCGCTCTCTTGATATCTCACGCCATGAGTACTCTCTTGGTTTAAAGTAAGTTATGCATCATTTTGCAGATGGTAGTTGTAGGAGAATTTGAGTACTGTCAATGCTCACTTATCTGAACTATATGGGAAAGTCCCCTCATTGACATACGGATAAGCAGAATTCTTACAGGGAAAGTCCAAAAATGACCATTTTTGCAATTTTTTGTTCAACAGGCAACATAATTTGGATTTCCACACAAATTAAGTAAAAAATATAATTTAAAAGGGAAACTTCAGCTTATCTTCTTGTATTTTGACTTCTTGTTTTAAATGTGTAGTTCTTGAAAATTTACATAACCTAATTTCTGGTTATCCATATTTTCTGTCCAGATATGGCGAAGTTTTGCCAGAAAATTATCCAGACTTTACTTCTTACCAGTCTGCATTATCTGGTCAAAACTCCGGTAATCTGGATTTCTGTCCAGATATGGTGAATTTTGGCAGAAAATTATCTGGATGCGATTTTGGCTGGATAATCCAAATACTCAGTTCAGCGGGCTTTGGATAATCGAGCTCATACAGTACTGGCATTTTGGGAAGATTCTTAAAGGACTTGTAGTGACAAGCCACTTTCAATGTGTTTACATGGGCTCAAGACACATGGAAAAAACAATTATTTTGATTTTTATGGTATAGTGTCTAAATTTATTTGGTGTCTGAAAAGACATATTTAATCTTTCTGTACCCTACAGGTCTGCTCGTGGATATATGCACCTTCGAATACAGTTTGACTGTAAGACTGGCCAGTATATGTTAGGAAGAGGCACCAAGCAATTCTCCTCAGTGCCCCACATGATCCAGCATTACAGCATCTTCCGACTGCCGATCAAGGGTGCTGAACACATGGTCCTACTGCATCCTGTCATTCATGAGACCCTCTAGTGAAGCTGGTGTAAAAAAATTAATTTATTGTCAGGTTCATATAAGGTCATGTAGATTTATTTTGGAATCTGCATCATAATCAGTGAGCAGCCTTGGAATACTTGCCTGTTATTATCAGTGTCTTGTTTATGGATGAGATGGTAATGGGTTTTGAGCTTACAACCAAGTCTGACGCTACTGATTATGTTGTGGCTTCACAATGAAACCCAGTTGCCAATCTTTTGCCAAACCTTGTGCATCTTCCATAATTCTTAATATCTTTCTAGTGCATATTTAAGTGAAGTACTCATTGACAATTTCCACCTTTTCTCAATTTCAGAATCCTCTTAGTCAAATCTTTACTCTTTGTAGAAAGTTCCATAGAAAATCCTTAAGTAGATACTGCAAGTTATCATTGTATGGGACTGTAGCAGGAGGCTTTGCAGCTGCTACCCCGCCTTGCTTGGTTCTGCTCTAGATTGGGCTATTGTTTGGTTTTATTTGTAGTGCCAAAATTTCTGTAGAACCAAAATTGGTTTCATCTATCTAATAGATGAGGACATTCCAATGCCAGTATATATGGTTTAATCTAGTACAAATTGTGAGGATATTATATGTACAGAGGAGTACTTCTGGTATAAACCCAATGGTGTGCACTCATCAATTCAAGGGCATGGGCAAATGTAGCTGGTGTATTATATGAATATTTAGAGGTCAAATAAATTAAGAGTTTTGTACCTCAGAGTTTTGCAGAATAGGATATGTATTTTGCTTGTAAACATTCCATGTATTTTAAGCCATAACAAATGTTGCTGCCTGCTGCATTTTTCTTCATGATTTTTGCAGACTTTGAAATATTACCTGTATTAACTATTTTGTATTTAGAGGGAATCGTGTAAAGGTTCCTCATTATATGGTTTTATAATATGTGATATTTGTTAAAAAAAATTCTCAGGTTCCCAACAGTATAATGGACTGCTAAGTCTTGTGTGCCAATGGAGGTAAAAATTCAACTACTCTACCAATGTGAGAAATACAAAATGCCATATAAATATTGTGTCAAAGGTGCACTTAATTTTAAATTTAGAGATAATCAGCATAGTAAGAAATTCAGTGATGTAAGCCTAGCCTTTAGGTTATACTCTGTACCTCATTTACACTGTGTATGCCATATTGAATTATGTAAGTTATATTAAAGTAGGAATTGAACTAAAATTTGTGGTTAGAGAATGAGATAATGACCATCTTGTAATGTTTCGGGTTAAGTACAAAGTGTTATTTATTCTGCCTGAAGTGAATATTTTCCAAGTTAGTGTGAAATCCTTGACAGCGGTGATGATTTAATACATGGGTGATTGAGATTTAGATGTTTTACTGAAGTTGGTACTGTATTTTTGTAAAGATTCAGTGGCATGCCATTTAAAGTAACTGAATAGCCAACTTGTAATGATACATGAGAGAAAATGGACTCATGATATATTATGGTTTCTCTAGAATGCCCACAGAAGAGGGATACACACAGTACTGTAGGTAATGTTTTATAAGCCTCATTTATATCAGGTATGTGTCAAGTAATTATGGCTATTTTTTGTACTCGGTCTGTTTGATGGGGAATCCTGGTACCTTGGTACAGTAGACACGGTGTATTTCATAGAGTATGGTTACTGGTGATGTATGTGACTTAAACTTCACAACTTAAAAGGGAAAAACACACATTTCTAAAATCTTACTCACTTCTTTCCCTCATTTTGTTTTGTTTATAGTACTGTATAATGCTACTTTCTGTGGAGAGCCTCTTCGGCTCCCCGGAGATATACCGGGCTGATGTGTATATGTTAGACTGTGGCAACAGTCAATCGAAGGAGTTCTATGCCTACCGGGGACCACAGCCAGGACCTGGCCCCCTCAAAAGTGGCACGAGGAGCAATGGCCTAAAGACACCCCATGTAATTGGAATCAGTCTTTGTTTGCCATCTACCAGGTCAGGCACCCAGAAGGGTAGGAATTCCAAAACAAACTACTGCTGGTCAAAAATTGTCAACCAAAAGCCAAACTAGCAAGCAGAACTCCCCAGTTAAAAACAAACAAGAATGATGTCACCCCAACCGCTGCGCATCCGTCTGTGCAACCTTCTCCCTCCCCGGGAGGGGAACGAGGGGGAGGGAGTCCTAGACCTCCATGCCGGCCACTCTCCTCAGTTCAGAAGGCTGTTTTGTTGGTAACGGTCGTCAGCACTCTTTGCGCAGTGCTGCTTAGCGGTGTTGTTGCTGTGTTGGTGGTATGCGAGCCAGGAGTAACACTCGAGTACTGGAGCTGCATGCATCTAGAGCCACCTTCCCTAGGTGCTCTGTAAGTAGTACCCCTGCGGCGGTCTAGGATTATCTTCCCTGAGCCGTTCGGGAACTACCTCTGCGAGGTTCTGTTGCTGCTCGGTGATTGCCTGCCCTTGGGATTCAGCTGTGGTGGTTCTTACTCCTGTTTGCCCTTGAGTAGTTGGTACTTTCCTTGCTGGCTGGGGCACTGTGTACTGGGGCTGGGTACTGTGCTACTGTCTGATATACACATAGCAACCGGTTCTGTTCACCTGGAGATGGGGTGCTTTTGCGGGGTTTTCTTTTGTTTTCGTTTTGTCTTGCCTGGTGGGGATCGGCATTGTGTGGTGGTAGGACCACTTGTATGATTTTGGTGGCCTTCCACTAGGTCCCCATGCTTGCATATGTCGCAGGGGTACAGCTTTTAGTTTGCTTGGTATCTCTGAGATAACCGGTTAGCAGTACCACACCTGGACTTCCCTTAGCAGTCAGGGAACCCCCCATTGGGATTCAGTGGTCCGATGGAGGAGATTTCTGAGTCCCACCTCGCTTTGTGCGGGTTTGAAGATTGCTCTGTTCCCTTGTATCAGGATGACACTCACCGTCTTTGCCTCTGCCATGCTGCCTGTTGGGTCAGTGACACCTTTGTCCCAGGGTCCTGCGAGTGGTGTTCTTTGCTTGTACACCTTTTCACCCAGTCCACTGATATTGATATTCGGGTGCAGGCAGCTTCAGCGTTGCATGCACGGTGTAGGTTGCTGCAATGTGCAAGGTTGATTGCCTTTCCAGATGCCCTGCAGCTGTCCCACTTTGTTGCTTGGTGGTAAGACTTGGGCAGCTTCGAGGATTGCCCCTTCCGGATCAGTGGCGGAGGCATTCGAGCCTGTTCCTTCTGCTAGTTCTCCAGGCTCCGGGTCCTGACCTGGAGAACCCCAGGGTTGGGGAGGATTTTGACTTGAGGGGGGGGCTTGGGCCCCGTTTGACCCCGTTTGGGTGTTGGTACCCTCGGCACGGGCCTTTTATAATCCGGGTCTTGCAGGAGGTAAGCTGCAAAGGCCTCCAGCACTCCCAAAAACAAAAAGCACCTATTGTGTTTTCGAAGATTGACTTGTTTGGGCTACCAGCTATCTGTACAGTGGCAAGCCAGGGTTCTGGTTCTTTCTGAACCTGCTAGGCTGGTGGAAGTCTTAGTTGGTTATTTTCTGGGTTCGAACCTGGTTGGGTTGACTTTGGGGATCTAGGTCAGTTCTCTAACTTGCCTCCTGTGGCTCTGCTCTGCCTGCAGTGGTGTCACCATATGAAGTTGGTTCAGCCTAGGTGGCTTGGGGTTGGTTGAGGAGTTGTGTGGGAGCTTTGCTTGTATGGTGTTTTCCTCCCAGAGTGTGGTTTGGCACCAGGCATTGCACCGAGTCATCTGGTTCTGCCTGTTTCACTGCTGCCAGGATCATTGGGTTTTGGCTTTGTTTGCCCTTTGTTAACTCTTGCTTTACTGGCTTCCTTTTTGGGCTTATTGAGGTTTGGTTCCGGTGGTGCCTTCCTCCCTCACCTCCCTGTGTTCATGTATGCCTGAGCTCTGGGCTGGAGTTTTGTGACCAGTACTCGCAGTGCCTCCCTGGGTTGTTAGTGGGGTTAACTTTTTTTGGGCATGCAAGTTTATGCATGCAAATTTACTTTTGTTTTTACATGCCCTTTGGAGGGTTGTTACATGTTACATGCCCTTTGGAGGGTTCATCTTCCTCTGGGCTCTGTTCTGACTCCATTTTGACTGCTCCCCAGTGGATCATTTGCTGAATCATGGGAGGTCACATTGGTTTTCTCGTTGGAGAAGAACACTTTGTGTAACTCAGCTTCTGGCTTCTCAGGGTATAGTTTTCCATGTGGTTCCCATGTTGGGTGTGTCTAACATTCTTGTGGATGTTTTATCTCATTTCTGTCCTATTCCTATATATAGATAGAATGTCCCTCAGCAATTCCATCTTCTGTTGGCTCTGTGAGATGTTGGGTAGCCCTGCAGAGGATCTTTTCACATTGGCATAGAATCGGCAGCTTCCCTATTATGTGGCTGTGTTCCCCAATCTTGAGGCTCTCACTGTGGATGCCTTTCGGCGGGACTGGTTGAGGTGGGGTTCCCCTTATATCACTCCCCCCCCCTCGTAGTTGACTCCCCCCCCCCCTTCGTAGTTGACTCCCCCCCCCCCTTCGTAGTTGACTCCCCCCCCCTTGTAGTTGACTCCCCCCCCCCCTCGTAGTTGACTCCCCCCCCCCTCGTAGTTGACCCCCCCCCCTTCATGGTTGACTTCCCTTCCCCCCCTTCATATTTGACTTCCCCCCCCCTTATGGTTGATGCCCCCCCCTTATGGTTGATGCCCCCCCCTTCATGGTTGATGCCCCCTGCCCCCTTCATGGTTGATGGGCCCCCCCACCTCATGGCTGAGGAGTTGACTTGGGGAGGGCTTGGGTCCCATTTGACCCCGTTTGGGTGTTGGTACCCTTGGCATGGGGCTTGTGGTTACAGGGGGGGTAGGTTTTTCTTATTCCCCCTCCCTGTACAAGTTTGTTATGAGTGCGACTCTTCCCCGGGTTTGGTTCCGGGTTTCCTTGGGTTCCTGGGTTCCCTCCTTCCAGAGGTTTTCGGCTTCACGCATTCCACAGAGGGAGGTGCTGGAGGCCCTTGTGGCTTACATCTTGCGAGACCCGGATTACGCCTCAATTATGGACCCTTCTTTTAACTTTGGCTCCTCTTTTTCTTTACTGGGTGTGTTACGAGGTGCCAGAGTCTTCCTGGTTGGCAGACTACCCTTTCTGTTCGTTAAGGGTTTGGCATTCGTTCTGTCGGACTTGGACGCCTGAACGTTCATTTTGAGAACCTCAGTGCTTGCTTGTTCGCCCCTGTGCTTCCTTGTGATATCGGCCAGGGGCAGGTTCCCTCCCGTTTGGCGTCCCTGGTGGATGCCAAATGATTGCGCGCT